ATCAGGCCAAAGGCCCATCCAGTCCAACACTCTGTGTCACACAGTGGTCAAAAAGACCGGGTGCCATCAGGAGATCCACCAGTGGGGCCAGGACATTAGAAGCCCTCCCACTGTTGCCCCCCCCCCAAGCACCAAGAAGACAGAGCATCACTTGCCCCAGAGTCCCTATCTATACTTTGTGGCTAAGAGCCACTGATGGACCTCTGGAATGACTTGGAAGATTAAAATGTTCTCCCACTGGGTTTTGAGCGTTGCTGTTTTTAATGTCGGATTTATGTCCATTTATTCTTTTGCGCAGGGGCTGACTTGTTTGTCTGACGGTGAGTTTGTCTGTTTAGGGATTGTGATAAGCCCTGAAGTTCTGTCTTTACATTTCTAAGCTGTCAGTGCTGCGGTGGAAATGAGGTTTCAATTGACTGAAAGGTCCCAGGGTCTGAGTTGAAGGGAAACAGACGCAGCCTGCTCTGGGGTCAAGTCTGCACCTGGATGAGAGACCGCCTGAGCCTCCCCCCACCCATCATGTTTGCTAACTTGAATTCACAATGCATTACTGTCAGTCCATTCAATGTAAATGGCCGGTTTGTGCTGCCTCGGTTTGCACTGGGGCTGTGCAGAGAAGGGCAGAGTTTAAGCCTTCAACTTCTGCTCTGTTTTCTTTATAAAAATGGCCCCCTTTGAGATTAACATTTTAGAGGAAAAATACATTCTCTAAAAGCTCATCTTTTCCTCTTTTGAAATGCCAACAGGGAGCCCAGTTTCAGCTAATGAAACTGAGGGGAAGATGAAGGGTTAAACCTCTCCTTCCTGCCTCACATGGCCTCAAGGCAAATCGAGGCTGCATTAGCCTGCAATCTGCATTGTACACGAAGGAGGATATGTCTGGTTCTCCTTATCAGGTCTGTTTTTGCCCTTAGGATTCCAGCAATAAGTTTTCTGCTCTGGTTTCCGTGCGGTTAGGAAAAGCACATACTCAGAAACACATTTTTTAAAATTTGGGTACCACCATGTGGGAGCTGCGGTGGCTCAAGTGGTTAAGACGCTGAACTGCGGGCTGTGGAAGGTCGGTAGCTCAGCAGTTCGAGACCCATGTTGCCACATGACGGAGTGAGCTCCCGTCTCTAGTTCCAGCTCCTGCCAACCTAGCAGTTCGAAAGCAAGAAATTGCAAGTAGATAAATAGGTACCACTTCAGTGGGAAGGGAACAGCGTTCCGTGCACCTTGGTGTTTAGTCATGCCGGCCACATGACCACGGAAGCGTCTTCAGACAGCGCTGGTTCTTCGGCTTTGAAACGTAGATGAGCACCACAACCCTGGAGTCGGACTCGACTGGCTTTCGAGCAAGGGAAACCTTTACCTTTACCTTTTTACCACCATGTGGCGGCATTAATCTTTTTGGATCTCCATATTTTATATTTTTGGCTTTTTATTGGAGGTGTTCATTATTCATGGAGTTTTCATCCACACTGGGTTCATTGTTGGTGTTATATATGCAACGGTTTTCAGATTGTTTTAGAAGTTGGCTTTGAAAGCAGCTTTGGGAGCCTTTTAGACCAGGGGTGTTGAACTCATTTGTTATGAGGGCCGGATTTGTTATGTTGGGCCGGGCCATGTGTGTCATAAAAGGTAATGCCAGGTAGCGGAGGTATAAACTTTATAAAGGACACAAACACAAAGGTGTTTTTTTTAAACTTAAAATAAAAACATGCTTAAAACATTAGCACTCTTGCAATATTTTGTTTATTTAAGGCTTCTGATTTCTGACACCTCCTGCTCTGAATGATTGCATCAAAATGTCTGTGCTGTTGCAATCTTGAGTATGCTGTTCAGGTGTGCATCTGTAAGCTGCAAACCTACGATGATGCAGCAGCAGCAGCAGAACTGGAAGAAGAAGCAGAAGACAGCCAGTTCCACTGCGGGCCTGATGGAAGCTCACCGGGGGCCTGATCTGGCCTTTGGGCCGCATGTTTGACACCCCTGCTTTTAGACTGAGAGCTGCAGGGTAAAAATCCTATCAATCCATCCATCAATCAGACGAAAATGCTTGCGATCTGTTAAAAAATCTTTTTATACAGTCCTCCTGCCATGCATTTAACACCTCCTTGACCCTTCAAAATCATCCTGCATTTCACAAAAAGAAACTCTGGATCACAAACACTTCTGGCATCATCAGGGTCCGCACTAGGGTCATCAGCTCCAGTCCTGGAAATTCCTGGATATTTTGGGCGGAATGGAACCTGGGAGGACAGGGTTTGGGGAGGGGAGGGGAGAAACCTCAGTGGGATATGATGCAGAAGAGAGCAATGAGGCTGATCAGGGGTCTGGAGACTGAGCCCTACGAGGAAAAGCTAAGGGCCTTGGGAATGTTTAGTTTGGAGAAGAGGAGACTGAGAAGAAGAAGAGGAGATTGGATTTATGCCCCGCCCTTCACTACCGAAAGGTGTCTCAGAGTGGCTTACAAACTCCTTTCCCTTCCCCTCCCCACAACAGACACCCCCTGTGAGGTCAGTGGGGCTGAGAGAACTTGACAGAAACTGGTCTTTTTCAAGAACAGCTGTGCCAGAATTATGGCTTGCCCAAGGTCTTCCAGCCAGGTGCAAGTGGAGGAGTGGGGAATCAAGCCCGGTTCTCCCAGATTAGAGTCCGCACACTTCACCACTACACCAAACTGGGTGGTACATGATTGCTCTCTTTAAATATCCGAAAGGCTGTCATTTGGAGGAGAGCAAGGAGCTGTTCCAGTTGGCAGCCGAGGAGAGGACCCGAAGCAAGGGGTTTAAATTACATGCAGAAAGGTATTGGCTGGATATCAGGAAACACTTTTTCACGGTCAGAGTGGATCGAAGGTGGAATCAGCCGCCTAGGGGGGTGGGTATCTCCCCTTCACTGGCAGCTTTCAAGAAGAGGCTGGACGGATATTTGTCAGAGATGCTTTTGGCTGGTCCTGCATTGGGCGGGGGGGTTGGACAAGATGGCCTGTAGGGCCCCTTCCAACTCTCTATGATTCTATGATTCTAAAGCGCACCCTCCAAAGCAGCCATTTTCTTCAGGAGGACTGATCTCTGTTGTAATTCCTGGAGATCTCCAGGCCCAACCTGGAGGTTGGCAAGCCTAACAGGAAGACCTGCGCCTAAGAAATAGCTGAGGACTCTGGACGTTGAACTCTCAGGATGTGTTTGGTTTGCAAGACTCTACAGCAAGACTCTTCCTAGTTCTGGCTGCCATAGGCCAATACAGCTCTGCCTCCATATATTCAGCAGAGGAGGGAATGTGTCTCAATGGCAGAGCATCTGCTTGGCATGCAGAAGGTCCCAGGTTCAACCCCCGGCATCTCCAGCTAAGGACCAGGCACTAGGTGATGTGAAAGACCTCTCTCTGCCTGAGAACTTGGAGGGCAGCTGCCAGCTGAGTAGACAATACTGACTTTGATGGGACCAGTGGTCTGATTAGGCAGCTTCATGTGTTTGGAACTTTTTTTGACATGTACAGGAAACAATGGGGGTAATGTATCAGTTGGGCGGCTGTTGATGGCACAGAAGTACTACAAACACAAAAGGGAAGTTCAGTGTGAGTAGATATAAGCAAAACTATATCGGTAGAATCAAAACGTTTGTTCCAAAATACTTAAAAGCAATTACTTTCCTTCTTCTGAACTGGAGAAGAAGATCTCTTCTAAATTGCTTGCATCCATTAGACAAGTATGTATGGGTGAAACAGGGAATAGTTCCAAAGACTGGTATACAAAACAGCAACAAGACTCCCACCGACTGATTTACAAAACAGACTGAAGGCGGTTTCGTTTAATGACTTCTTCAACTTGCTTCCAACAGCGAATGCTTTTTGAACAGTAGCAGGCTGGGTCCGCATTACTGAAGTTTTGCTCATTCATGTTGGGTTCCAAACAAGAATTGATGAAAGTATATTCGTACGCTGTCACCCTAGCATTATCTTGTCTATTGCACTGAGCAGAGGAAACTTTTAGTTTAATGCATATTCCTTGACCACGGATGTTGCTCAAGTGTGTATACATTTATATCAATATACTGAATGTTGCTACGTGAGGCGTGATAAAAGTTATTGTATTATATAATTCATGTTAGAAAGTATTCAATAGAGAGCTATACAACATTTGATGGTCTGTTTTTAGTGTAATTTTGTTTATAGCGTCGGTGGCACAGGGGCCGGGCCAGTAAAAAGAAGACAGCAACTCAAGTTGAACAATCCAGGACTTGGTCTGGGCTGAAACGGCTGCGGTTGTTTCGCCTCTGAACATTTCTGCATTTTCAAGTGCCATGTTGACTAAGGGCTGGCGAACCCTGCCCGACCGTTCCCCTGCCCCGACCACTGTTTTCTCTCATAGGAAACATTATCTTTCAGCATGTATGCCTGCAGTCCTTTTTGTCCAGCGATGCGTGACGTTCTCGCAGGTGCTTCCTCTCCGAGTCTTGACTGAGGCCACCCCGAGGGACTCCAGATTCTTGTAAAGAGTCCCAAACCAAAACCAAACCAAACCAAACTCGTTCTTCTCTTTTAAAAATGGTTGAACACCACCGGGCCACCTTTTCCATCTGGTGTAAATAAAGAGAGCCACATCGGCTGCCTTTAGCGAAGGATTTGAGCCGTAGACTCCTCCATGGATCCAAATCCTTCCGAGTTGGTGCTTCAGATGTACACGGGACTAAGCAAACTCCCGTGAACGTCAGTTCTTCTTCACAGGCCTTCCACGGAGGTTTGCAAAAGGCTCCTCTGATTAAAAAGTGTCACTGGTGCACAACATTTTCTCTGTTACTGTCGCCTTGGAAGGAGTGTCTGTTGTGGTGAGCCGGAGCACACAGCAAAGGAGTGTGTTGAGTGTGTGCGTGGGGGTTGACTCTCAAGCGGTTGTGGGTAAGAGGATGTGACAACGTCATGTCATTCAGCGGGAACCTGGGCTTTAAAAAAAGGGTGAAAGGAACATCTGGACAGCCGATCTTCCCATAGAGGAGCAAGGAGCAGCCCGAAAAGCAGACAGAGAGACAGGGGGAAAGGGGATCTCTCCTGGCACAGAATATGCACTGGCAAAAATGTGAGTTTTGGCCACTTCTTTTAAATAAAAAAAATGTAACTAACCTAGATGTACACATGGCGCTTGAGTACTGTTAGGGCAGTAATAGCCACGGATGTTTATAATTTGCATTGCTATTTAATTTTCCAAAGTGCTTTTGACTGTATTGGGCCAACTTGGTGGTAGGCAATTGTTATTCAAATTTTACAAGCCAGGAACTGTGGCTGAAAGCTTGTAAGCTTGCTAAAGGCCACAGGATGGCTTTTGCCAAAGGTGCAGGATTCGAGTTTTTCAAATCTGAGTTTAACTACCTGCCACATGAAAGGAGATTCAGGGACCGAAATATGCCAGAAACGACAACTTGTGATCCAAATATTTCCCCTCCTACTCCCTGATGTACGTGGTTATTGAGCAATAAAGCATGGGTGTTTTTGCACATGCTCAGAGGTATGCTCTTCTTTTTAGTACCACTCTTCTGGAGGTATTTTGTCACTAAATCCTGGCTGGAAGGCAATGTGAAGTCTTAATCATCTGCATTCTTTATTGTTGTTCGTTGGCGGTCAAGTTGACTTGCGGTGAGCCTGTAGGGTTTCAAGGCAAGAGACATTCACAGATGGTTCGCCATTGCCTGCCACAACCCTGGACTTCCTTGGCAGCGGTGTTCCCTCTAAGCTGAGATTGTGTGAGCTAGCTCACAGTTTCTTAGCCTCCAGCTCACACATTTTTGTCTCAGCTCAGGAAGGACAGCTCCAGAGCCAACTCATTTCTGTAGCAGCCAAATCGCTCGCTCACAACTTTAATGCCGGCAGCTCATGAAGTAGAATTTTTGCTCACAAGGCTCCACGGCTTAGAGGGAACATTGGTTCTAACCAACTCTTTACGCCTCACTTCTGGGAACTTTCCAGGTTTGTTTAAACCGGGAATGCAAAAAACTCACAAGCCCATTTCAAGAAATGACCCGACGGCAATGGCTTTAGAGAGGACGTTTGGCTTTCTGCAAACTGAAAGGATAACGGCTCGTATTTGTCTGCCCATCTTTCCAACCGTAAGATGTGCAAATTGCAGGAAGAGCCTTAAACATGTCTGCTATATGACTTGTCAAAGCTGCTGTTAGGAAAGACAGTATCCCCGTTTCGTACATGGAAAACCGAAGCGAAGAAGGAATATCCTCAGGCTGCCATGTGACGGCATAGCAGGCAGCCAGTATGTTGTAAGAGTTACAGGCAATGTTCCTTCTAAGCTGTGGAGTCTTGTGAGCAAAAATTCTACTTTGTGAGTTAGTGGCATTAAAGTTGTGAGCGAGCGATTTGGCTACTGTATAAATTAGTTTGCTCTGGAGCCATCCTTCCTGAGCCAAGGCAAAAATGGGTGAGCCGGAGGCTAAGAAACTGTGAGCTAGTGCACACTAACTCAGCTTAGAGGGAACACTGGTTACAGGCAGTGTTCCCTCTAAGCTGAGTTAGTGTGAGCTAGCTCACAGTTTTTTAGCCTCCAGCTCAGACATTTTTGTCTTAGCTCAGGAAGGATGGCTCCATGGCAAAACAATTTATGCAGCAGCCAAATTGGTCGCTCACAGCTTTAATGCCAGTAGCTCACAAGGTAGAATTTTTGCTCACAAGACTCCACAGCTTAGAGGGAGCATTGGTTACAGGGTAGGTCTAGAACTTGGGGAGTGGGTGATGGAAAGCGCCATCAAGTCGCGGCAGTCATATGGCGACCCTGTAGGGTTTTCAAGGCAAGAGATGTTCAGAGGCGGTTTGCCATGGCCTGCCTCTGCGTCCCAGCCTTGGTATTCCTTGGAGGTCTCCCTTCCAATTATTTGCCAGGGCCGGCTCTGCTTAGCTTCTGAGATCTGATGAGATTGGGCTGGCTTGGGCCGTCAGGGTCAGGGTTAGAACTTATGGAGACCTGGCCTCAAATTCCTTCTCAGAGATGAAGCTCACTGGGCAATTTGGTACCAACCGCTCTCTCACTCAACTTAACCTGCCTCGCAGGGCCGTTGTGAAGACAGCAGGGAAGGAGAGAACCAGATACACTACCTCAGGCTAGCTGAGGGAAGGGCAGGTTTAAAAATAGCCGTCTCTAGGATGGCGGTGAAATCGGAGCATCGTGCTAGAGAGAATGCGGAGCTAGAGGCTAGTAAATTTCCAGCATGTATAATTAGGCAGAAAAGATTTCCAGTGCCTCTGTCAGCATTAGTCACCACAAATCAAATGTCAATTAATGATTCATAAACGCTGCAATATCGCAAAGATGGTCACAGAAAACCAAACAATTTCCATTTGAAAGAAAATGCATCCTCTGGTTTTTGGGTGGGTTTTTTTGCATTTGCTTTGTGTGTGTGTGCGTGTGTGTGAAATGCCGTCAAGTCGCAGCCGACTTAAGAAGACCCCAGCAAGAGGCTTCCAAGGCAAGGGAGAAGCTGACGTGATTTGCTATTGCCTTCCTCTGCAGAGCCTTCCTTGGTGGTCTCCCTTCCAAGCACCAACCCTGCTTACCTTCCCACTTACGGCAACCCCAGCAAGAGGCTTCCAAGGCAAGGGAGAAGCAGAGGGGGTCTGCCATGGCCTTCCTCTGCACAGCCTTCCTTGGTGGTCTCCCTTCCAAGTACTGACCCTGCTTAGCTTCCAACTTATGGCCACCCCAGCAAGAGGCTTCCAAGGCAAGGGAGAAGCAGAGGGGGTCTGCCATGGCCTTCCTCTGCAGAGCCTTCCTTGGCGGCCTCCCTTCCAAGCACCAACCCCTGCTTAGCTTCCCACTTACGGCAACCCCAGCAAGAGGCTTCCAAGGCAAGGGAGAAGCCGACGTGGTTTGCTATGGCCTTTCACTGCAGAGCCTTCCCTGGTGGTCTCCCATTCAAGTACTGACCCTGTTCAGTTTCCAAGATCTGATGAGATCGGGCTACAGCGTGCCGCCTTCCCTCCCTCATTTGCCCTTTACAGATGTGAAATAGTAACCAAATAGTGATGGTCTCTCTTTGGCCTGGCCGTGGAGGCTACTATAGGGGTACGGGAGCTACTCCCACATGGCAATAATCCTTACAGCCCCCCACCCCCTGGCTGCCCCCAGCTGCTGTTTCTTCCCTGGAGAATTTTTTTAAAAAAACTGGTAATGCTATGCTTCCCAGGCATGCAATTCAACTCTAAAATTTATAACTGTAGCAGTGGTTGGGATGGGGACTACAACATGAATTGGGAGCTTGGAACAGTGGGAGAGAGGCGTTAACCTCCCCCCCCCCCCCCCCCCCCCGCTCATGACATAAAACTGTTCTTTAAGTCCTAGCAGGGAAAGAAGACAGGCATCCTATTTTTATCTTTATTCATTTAATCGTTTATTCTTCCTTACGGAGCTCAGAGATGCCTTGCAACGTAGATAAAACACATAAAGTAATATGAGATTCCCTGTTTCTTTTCCTTTCCTTTTCTTTTTTCGCCGTCAAGTTGCAAACAACTTATAGCAACCCTGTCAGGTTTTCACAGTAAGAGGTGCATGGAAGTGATTTGCCACTCCCTGCTTTTGTGTCGCAGCCCTGGTATTCCTGGATGGTCTCCCATCCAGACACCAAACAGGGCCGACCCTGCTTAGCTTCCCAGATTGGACAAAATTGGGATATCGAAATGTCAGGGTGCCTGGCTTTTCTTACTGGGGCTTAAAGAAGGTGGGTGGCATTTTCAATCAGGGAAACAGAAGGGGGGGACCAGTTAATTCCCCCTTCCCCAATGCCATGGTCCCAATCCATATCTAGCCTCTCCCCTTCCCTCCCACAGTTTTTTGTTTTTGTTTAGGTGCTGAACTTCACATTGGAAGATCTGCTGGCAGGTCCCTTGCACGATGTATTGTTTGGCCCTGAGATGAAGACGCAAGCCCTCCCAGACAGAAAGAAGGCTTGCAGTCAGAGAGATTTCATCCCCTCTTTTTAGCAATTAACCCTCAGTTTATGTGATCGTAGCAGTGAGGGGGGTGTATTTATTTATCATAGTTTGGATTCCCAAAGCAACTCATAGGGGGAATTTCTAAAAAAAAATCATAAAATCATAGAGTTGGAAGGGACTTCCAGAGTCATCTAGTCCAACCCCCTGCACAATGCAGGAAATTCACAAATACCTCCCCAACACACACACCCAGTGACCCCTGTTCCATGCCCAGAAGATGACAAAAAACCTCCAGGATCCCTGGCCAAACTGGCCTGGAGAAAAAAATGCTTCCTCACCCAAAGTAGCAATCAGCATTTCCCTGGGTGTGTAAGAAAAGGCCACGAGAACTAAGCACTGAAGCCAGGAAGAGGAGCAGGGGCTGCCCACTGGAGCAAGATCCACGTATGATGGACAGGTGTTCAGTGGCTTCCTTGTTTCCTTTTGACCAGAAAGGCCACCTTAAAATAGACTAGCGCTGTTATTGACTTGTCCTTAGGAAGGATAACTGTGGAGTAGGTAATTTTTTTTAATGCATAAAGTATAGGTAAGCACTGTGGGCAACCAGTCCAGGACCAGATACCACTAAACAGAGACTTCATATGCTCATGGTTACGTATACCCCCACCATGCCAAAATGTAGTGGGTATGATCCAGGCAATGGTGAGCACTTTTCTCCAGCTTTATGTGTGCATGTTATGTGCCATCAACTCACTTCAGGTTTATGGTGTCCCTGTGGATTAGTGACATAAGAACATCAGTAGCCTGCTGGATCTAGTCCAGTGTTCTGTCTCACCCAGTGGCCAACCAGTTCCTCTGGAGAGCCAACAACAAGGCATAGAGCAGGGGTGTCGAACTCATTTGTTACGAGGGCCGGATCTGACATAAATGAGACCTTGTTGGGCAGGGCCATGTGTGTCATAAAATGTAATGCCAGGTAGTGGAGGTGTAAACTTTATAAAGGACGCAAACACAAAGGGTTTTTTTAACTTAAAATAAAAACATGCTTAAAACATTAGCACTCTTGCAATATTTTGTTTATTTAACAGTGCCTGATAACTGACACCTCTTGCTCTGAATTATCACATCAAAATGGCTGTGCTGTTGCAA